AGCTTCGTTAATCACATTAGTCTTCATTGCCGAAATGAACAGGAAGACCTCACTCTTGGTTTTCACTAGTCTTAGTGGGGTTTTTAGCATAATGTCCGTGTTGAAAGGAACTCATCCAATATGGACAACATTACAAATTGTGTTCGAGCTTGTGTCTTTTTTCAGCGCCTGCTCGGCTCTCAATGTCTTGCTAATATTTACGGTTGAGCTTTTCCCCACCTGCGTGAGAAACTCGGCTGTGTCGATGGTGAGGCAGGCGGTGGTGTTGGGAGGAGTGTTTAGTCCAATGCTAGCGGCGGCTGGGAGAGTCAATGGCGGGTTTTTGTCGTATGGAGTGTTTGGGGTTGTGGTTGGGGTTTTTGGGTTGTTTGTGGTTTGTTTGCAAGAGACGAGAGGCAGGGGGATTTGTGATACAATGGATGAAGAAGAGTACAAACAAAGAGACAGCTGCTTGTATAATGCGGTCGCTGGTGATGTGTAGATTGATTTAACTACTTCGTCGTCTATCAAATAATTTCAAGTTGCGTTTTTTAGTGTTGCATGTAGAGGTAGGGAATTTGGGTTTGATATTTCTTTCTTTCTAATTAATAAAATTAATACAAATCTAAAAATCTATATGCCTCCCTCCAGTACTGAAACAAGCACATGCTACCTATTCAGAAAATGTGGCATTTATATTATTTTAGTGTTGTCTAATTAAGGATGGGTTTTAGCTGACAAGTTGGAATAGATCATATATCAAATCGACGATCCAGTTTGATTTGAAATTTCTTTTTATTTTTCTTTTATACTAATTTGATCCGAGAAAGTCATAGTAAAGAATTAGAAATTTATAGTAGTATAAAAACCACAACCGACCAACTGAAATTAACCATATGTAAACAGAATTTATCTAAATCCAATCTTATTTGGTTACGGTTCGACAAAATCACCACCACCAACGCAAGACCACAACCGCCAAGGAGAAACTAGTAACCTGCAACAAAAGAATATGGAGAAAGCCATGATTCACATGTCATAGGTATTTGGATGAACATTGCTCATGATGTAATTGACTACAATGTCGACAAATAATGCCAACGGTGGCGAGGTTGGAAGTTACATTTTTTCCCACCGAAGATTTGACATAATATCCAACTTTAATTTGTTTTGTAGCTTATTATGTTGGCCGATTTCTCAATCAAGGTGGGAAAGATTCTTTTCTGTTGGCAATGTAAGGTGGTTTTATGTCATTTGAAAAATGTTGGTGTATCTAACCCATAAAATTAAGAAGTATGTAGTTTGCATCAACGTCTTATAGTCGCAAAGGCAGCAAGTCTGAGATGGTGGAGCGGCGAGGTGGAGAGGAACCATAAGCAAGTATGCGACAGAGTTGTTGTCTTGGCCCGAGAAAAGCTCTGGTTTTGGAATATGAAAGGCCTAAAACTAAGAATCCAATCTAAAGTCAGCTAGGTTAACCACTCTAGCCATAAGCATTAGGCCCAAAAATTCATGCCCATCAGGGTGTTTCCCTTTTTAATTGTCTTGACAAATTGGAAACTTTTCAATTTGTAAATAGCCAATGTATCTTTCTCCAACAAGTCAACCTCTCAAACCATAAACCAACCAAGTACCAAAACTAGCACATGATCATTTGACACCAATTAGAGCACTTTCAGCAGTTTGCCCCTTGTCATGGCAGGGGGGGGAGGAGGGCCTAAGACAGCTACTATTCATGTGAATAGTGGTTGCCCTTGCAAAAAGCAATGTGTGTTTTCGGCAATTGCTCTTTGCCATGGTAAATACTTTTCATTTTTTTGTTTTTTTACAACTTTTTTTACCTAAACAATTAATTTGGATAATATTTTCGAATAATATTTTTGGTTCCTACGTGTCAATACTATTCATATCGGATAAGATTTTCGGTTTCAAATTTCAGATAAATTTCAAAATTCATATCGAGTATTGGTTGGTATTTATAGAAAATAAAAAAATTCACTAATTTTTTGGTATTTAAAAAAAAATCGATTTTTTTCATTTTTTTTACTGCACAAAAATTGGCTGCCGTTGGGTTTGAGGAAAATTCTGATCGGAGAGCCCAGAGTGCGACACGTGGACGAGAGCCATTTGCGGCACTGTAGTGGAGCATTCAAATATTTTTTTTTACATTAGCGCGTTAAAAAAAATTTGGACACCAGGGCTGACGTCGACGTGACGTCAGCCTTGCCCTCGGGCCAGCCCAGTCTGCTGGGTCCCACCATCTACCCGAGCCATTTAGTGTTGCTGGAAACGTGATTTTGGGCCAAACCAACCCCCCCCCCCCCCCCCCCCCCCGCCCGCTCC